CTTTCAATTCCCTTATTGCAAATCTCTAAACCCTTCTTATACCTTAAGAATGGGTTACTAGGTCTAACAAAAGTTTCCCCCAATCCCTTTTTCACTTGTTATGATGAAAGAGAACAAAACAAATTAGGAGAGTAGTTGATATTTCAAAGAGAAAAGATGAAAGCTTCAATCTCTTAGTTTTTCAAGTTGAATGCTCTAGTTGTGTGCTTAGCCCCTCTTCTATATTTGTTTTTATACTCTAACATTGTTCAATCAATGCTTTATGACCATTTGAGCTCAATTTGGAAAGAATCTCTTTCAATTTTGGTCAAGTTATTCAAGATTTCTACATTGAGGGATTGGAACTTGCTTCCAGGAGCTAGACCCTTTGTTGTGTTCTTTGTAGCATAGATGAAATATTCATGGTTCAACACCATCAAATGAAGGGTTAAAACCTAAAATATCACAAGTAACTTATAAGGGTCAAATGTGTCAAGGGTTTCAACACCTGGTCTTAATGGTTGGAACCTCCTGTGAAAAAGATAATTAGGAATCCCAATATATATTCAAACCCTACAAGCATTGATTTGGTGATATAGTTTTGTCTATCTCGCCACAAAGAGAAGACAATCCTTCTCAACTACAACATTATTTTCCTTTTTCATGTACTTTATCTTGCGCCAGATTGCTCCAAGATATTCATCATCCACAAGCTTTATAAGACAACTTGCACCTTCATTGAAACTAGAACTTGCAAAAACAAGACAAGGAATTACACATGGCAGAGAAACTCCTAGAGATGCCAGTAAAACTGTAAAAGTTATAAGAAACCATAGAAAAGTGGCATATCTCAGAAGAAATGGCATTTAAAGTCGGCAACCTTCGAGTCACAAGGTTGGAGAGGAAAAAAAAAACGCCAGGAAGTGCATTTGTAGACTCTAGACTGGACATCATTTAGTGCATCATTTTAAAAATAAAATCTCGAAGTATGAAATTAATCTTACTTTTCCACCTAAGTTAATTTATCCATAAGGTATTATTATTATTATTTTTTTATAGTAATCATGCTGCTTTCATAACTTAATGTAAGTGATACATCAGTACAAGATTAGCACATAACAGCAGGACCGGCAGAGCCAGGGGGAGGGGGGCTTGAGGAGGCACAGGCCCCCACTAAACTTTCGTAAAAAATTTAGTTTGGTCCCTTATGTTTTATTTTCATCATTTTTATCATTTTTATCCATTCTTATTTCATATCATTTTAATCAACTTTTAGTATTTATGTTGTTGAAGATTACTTATGATGATAAAGAGAAAGATGGAGAAAATAAAGATAATATAAAATATGGAAAAAAAAGGAAAAATTAATTAAATAAAAATTATCTATTATCCATTTTTATAAAATGTTTGTTTATTAATATCTTTATTTCCTTATTCTTTGTTCATAGTATATATTATTCTACTTAATATATATTTATTTTTATCTTTCAACAATAGTTTTTATTTTATATTATCAACCACAATTAAATTATCATTAAAAATTAACAAATGTTATTTAAAATATTTTCTCTTTTACTTTTTAAATTAACACACAAAATCACCTTTTTTTTTTAGTGCCAGCACATGGATGACCTTATTATACTCCCTTCAAACATAAACTGATGATACCTAGTCCAGCACCAATGCAATCCTTTTGATATCAGCAATGAATGACCTACTGTAGATAAAACCTGCACAGTCTGTTGTAAAGTTTTAAAAGTGATTAAAAATCACCTTCCACTACAATGTGTTGACAACAAAGATCACAAGCCAAATGGAGACCCATTTGAAGAATTTTGGGGGGAAAAAAGGGATAACTCAATATTAGACATGTGGCAAAAATATGTTTAAATGAATCTCTACTTGGATATCCTATTAACTATATTGTATCATTTTCAACATGTGACAAAAAGTACTTGTTGATCATGAGTCCTAAAATTTAGGAAAATTTTAGGAAAAATTTAGAATTTGTAGTTTTGTACATCCAACAACCAATCTTTTTTAGATACATGCATGAGTTTTATGTAATGAGTAACTTCAAAACTACTGTCTTAATTTCGTCTCCAAACTTCATTATTCACGAGTTTTAAAATAAATAATAATAAATAAACAATTTATTTGTTTATTTATAACTTTTATATGTCACTAAAATAAGTGAATCTATGTAATATTGAGAGTTCAATTTATAATAAATAAAACTCATCATTATATAATATAGTGAAAATAAGTACTCATTAAACAACATACAAGGTTATTTGAAAAAATTATCTCTTAATTATTTTATATTTTAAAGCAATATAATTTTAAACTCACCAAAAAAATTTTTTTTTGAGAGGATGGATTCTTAAGTTTTAAAATAACACCTAGTTATTCAACTTTCTAATATTAAAAATGTTGATGTGTAACAAATATCATTCATTTTAAAAAAAAATTTATTTAGAAAATGAAAAGGTAAAATAATTTATAGTTAAGACAATAAAACATAATCTATTGATGAGAAATAACTCATATTATTAAAGTGTTTACTCTCATTGAATAATAATATTATGTATTGCAAACTATATAATACTTTTTTAAAAGTAAAAAATAAAGGGAAAAAAAATTCTGATTTGATTAATAAACTTAGCTCACTAACTCACTATATAAAAATTAAAAATAATGTATGGGAAAATACAAGGGGTAATTTGGAAAGTTGGACAAAAAAAGAAGTCATAACGAAAATGACTAATGAGAGTGTCAAAGGGACAGTCAATGAAAGGCAAGCAAACAAGCAATGCAAATCCACCAAAATCGGGATAATCTCGTCCGTCCATTTTCCTTTTTCGCAGAGGAAATTCTGGACCGCCCAATTAGCATATTCGGGTCCCGAGGAATAGATTCCTAATACCCTCCCCCCTGTGTTCGGCATAATCAGCACTCACGCTGCAATCACTGAGCGCCACGTGGAACTGGAGTTGGTGGCGCGGCGTGACGTCCGCGCCCGCGACTTTAGAAAAATTGCTACACGCTTCGCCGCGTCTATCTTGATGACGTGGCGCAGGGATTTTAAAAGTAGCTTGAGATAAGTGGATCTTATACTAATATAAATAAATTAAATGACATATAGGGATAAATTTTTTATATTATTTTTAATATAATTTTGATGTATTATTAAATAAATAATTATATTTAACATTATAAAATTTAAATTAATAAAAATTAATGATTTAAATTATATATAAGATTGTATAAAAAATAATATTAAAAAATTATCTTTAAATCATTTTTTTATAAATTTATAATTACATTATGTTATATTATTAAATGAATGAATATATATAATATTATAAATAATTAATTAAGTGAAAAAAATTAATTATATAATAATATATTTTATAAACTTATAATTACAAGTAATATTATAACTATATTTAAAAAATATAAAAAGTGGTAGTAATTGATAACTTTCTATATTTATTATTACTTAACCACCACATAAATAGTATTTATTATAATATGTATTTTAATTATCATTTTAAAATAAAAATAAATACATTAAATGATATTTTTAAATAAAAATAATTAATTAAATTTAAACATTTCAAATTAGAAAGTATAGCAACTAAAATTGAATGTAAATGATATTTATTGTTGAGTTAAGATTCATTTACATACAATTCTTATACAAAATTTTAAAATTTTGATCATTCATTTATTTACCATTTAGATTTATTTACTTTTTATTTTTTTTAAAAATAATTATTTTTCATATAAAAATAATAAATCTTAACTATTAATAGTAAAGAGATAAATAATCAAAATTTTATATAAATAATATGTGTAAATAGCTCATAACTCTTTATTTTTAATTTTTTTTTGTTCTTATTTAATTTTTGTTGTTAATTATTCAATTTTGGAATTGCAAGACACGACTCATTGCCAAGTCATCTCATACGTTCCAATCCTTCTATAATAATATAATATATGTATGAAAAACATGTCAATAAGAATTTTCATTAAAAAAAAATGAGGAAAACCTTTTATTAAATAACTATACAAGACAAAAAATAAGTCAAGCTAAAAACAAAAGAAGATGAACGTGAACTGGTAATAATTCAAGACTCCAAAATAGAGGTTTCATTATCTCAAATTCAAATCTATAACACTAGAAGGAAATTTGGGAAATCAAATTTGCCAAAAACAAAAGAGGATAAAAGAAGAAAATTATTATGTCAACGAGGCAACCTTCATTTCTTTCATTTAGCATATTGATGTCATTCTTAAAAAATGTATACATTGTCTCAATTAGGTTAAAACTCAATTTTGATAGTTTTACTTTAACAAAAAATCTTTTTTAAGTCCTTTTACTTAAAAAACTCATTTTTAGTAGATAACATAAATTTTAAAGAAGAGGAATTAAAAAAAAAAAAACTAAAAAAGCTTGTTTTCTGTCCTCTACTTTAAAAAGAATCCTTTTGTAGTTTCTCTACTTTAAAATTAAAATCATTTAGCATGTCGCGTATTTAAGAAGATAACAAAGAGACTAAAAAAGAGTTTTTTTAAGTAGAGAATTAAAAAAGACTTTTTTTTTTTGTTAAAATAAAAGAAACATAATAAGGTTTTAATCTATTAATTAAAGACCAGCTATTACGACCAAGTTAAGAATCTAAGAGAATGGTTAGGAGAAATCAACCAAAAACTTTTGTGTAACCAAAAGTAGGGAACAAATTTCTTCACCAACCAAGCTTTGTGCATAAGTTGATAAAATATCCTTTTACTTTTCATTTCAAAAAGAAAATATTTAATAAAAGATTTTATATAACCATGACCATAAATTTTTTTCTTGTTGGATTTAGAAATTTGAGATCGATACCAAATAGAGTAAGAAAAGGGAGTTACTTTTTTTTTTTCTTTTTTCTTTTTTTTTTCATTTATAGTATATTTTGGTTGAGGGAAATCCTTTCCTCCCTTTTTTTTTATTTGAATAAATAAATTAATTAAAAGAAAAAAAATAAGTAAAAAGCTTCCTTGCCTTCTCCTTCAATTTTTTTGATAATCAAATAGAAGAATTTTTTCCTTTCTCCTCCCATTCTCTCCATTCCCTCAAATTAAATATATTGTTAAAAAACAAAACAAAGAAGTTAGTATTTATTCATGGCAAAAATTTTAAATAACCTTTATCTCCAAAATTAGAGTTTTAAAATTGTAAAAAAAAAAAAAAATTACACAAACCAACAAACACAGTGGAGGTGAAGGTTCTATCATCTATCCCATCAAAATTAAGGTATGTATAATAGGAACTCTCTTTCGTTTTTCTCTTTTTAGAAAAAGAAAAGAGATAAAGCTCCATCTGACATTGGACCTGTTTTGTTTACCGAGCTTGTAGAGAGACAAGCTTGGTCAAAATTTTTTGCCCACAAATGGATTTGCAATGGTGAGAGCATGTGAACCTTGACCCAACAGCATTATCTTCACACGCAGGCCAACGACCATAAAAAATAAAGGGTCGTTGGCTAAATTTTATTTGTTCATTTTTAACTTAATTTTTTTCATATCTTCATTTTAAACGTTGATCCAACAGCTTGAATTTACAAAAATCAATGGATACTTATGAAAAGATGAAGCTAAACACGGAAGACATACATCCAATGGAGGCTTCAAAGTGTCTCATACGCAAACTCATATATATTATATTTGCTGGCCTATCCAACTGTTACAAGTTCCCATAGTGCGTAATTGAACATGCAAACCACGCTGTACCACTGCACATAGAGATTGTTAAAAAATGAAATTTCCACATGCGGAGTTTTAATACGGAAGAATCACTGCAGTGACTCACAAAGTCAAGTCATATTCGGAATTAAGAATTGAACATAATGGCACAATTCGGCTAGCAAATCCCTAGGCTATGGCAAAAATCACGATGAGGTGTTCTCCTGTGATCGTTGACGAGATTGTTCAACGGTTTCCACCCCTTGATCCGTGATCAGCTAGCCATTACCAACCTGCAAAACGCTAGCTGTTACATGTTGGCTGCAAATACTACTAATGATTTTAACTCCAGCTATCCGTGTGTCATTCCAGTAAATAAGCAACAGATTTATTATAGATAAACTACATTCACAAGGCAAAGCACAAAGCATTTTTAATAATTTGTTTGATAGAGTCAAAATCCTTCATTAAACTATACAACTTCCACTTCATTTTCTGCTACCTAATAAGAGAATGGTTCTCCTCAATCATCTGTTTGCTTAGAAATGGAATCAGACGAACTTTTAACACCGATCAGAATCTTTGGTGGATTCAACGAACAGCTATTGACAATCTGTTCTCAAGTGAGAGGTGTCACAAGCCACATCACATTCACGATTTCACAGGGTGAGGGATCAACTAACTTGTTAACAGACTGCAAACCATATAATTGTTTCGGAGACTCTTTCCTCTTTCAAAAAACAAGCTAACCAATCTGTCACTACGGTAATAAATACGAAAGGGGATAATAAGATATTTCCTTCGATTATCTAGTATTATGATGTCTAAGGAACCATTGGAATCATTACATATGTTATCTAAGAGGTGTAATAGAAGAGATTATGATACTTATGTTTAGGCCATCATCTGACATAGAAAAAAAAAATTACTTGTACTACTAAGTTACAAACCCACAAGACCACAAACTATTCCAGGGTAACAAGAGAATGTATCAGGCATAGCCTTTTTAAAGGCAGCACATATAGAGATGTGATCGATAATAATTTTGACAAGTAATTGGTTTAATATGATGATTGCATCTGTAAATTAGGAATAAATCAGCCTTAGGAAGCCCCATGACTCATTGGAAGGTTCTAAATCCACTAGTCCCTCTAAAGATGAGCAAGACAGTTCTTAGTTCTTACTTATTTATGGAACAATCAAATGAAGTAATTTCAAAGCTTTCTTCCTTTTTCTTAAGGGCACATCAAATAATAGAATTACCCCAACCAGACCCCTTAATCTACTCAAAGAAAAACTACACATAAGCTGTTGTCAAGTTTGAGGGATGCACAAATCAGAACGATAATTGGTGGATACTCTTTCATGACAGGGCAGGGATTTGGTTTGCTAATGTCATGTGTATTACATTCCTTGTTAAAAAAATTACTTTGATTGAAAGCAAGCTAACCGGAGATAAATGATGCCATCAAAAAACAAGCAAGGTAGACCAGACAACAGCAGCCATAACTACTTTCTCCATAATACTGCCACATAAGGCCCAAAAATCCAGTCAATCATTCCGGAAAGTATAAATAATTCTTTAATTTGTCCTAATTTCAATTACGAAACTAGTTTATCACTAACAGAGAAATATTGAAGTGTCATGTGTCCATCAAACTGATGTACCTTTGCTACTAGCAACAAAGAAAGGGCACCCAAACTCTATACTTTCTTTCATCTATACAATGCCAAACATTTGATCAATTTTGAAAATATTTAACCATCGATTGCAGCATCACTTTACAATACATTGACATGGAGCGCAAAACTCATTTGCACAAAAAGTTCATCTTGAACTGATTAATTTAACAAGAAATAAAATGATAAAAAAAATATGTTAATACTGAAAACCAACAAAATACATTTCAGATATCCTTAAAAACAGAAGAGAATTAACTTTACTATCATAATGCTGATACAACTGCAATATGAGGAACATGATTGGTAGACATTGCAGCTGCAATTTCATGATTAAAGATGCGAAAACATAGATTACCTCAACAGGAAGACAATCACGTTGTTTTAACCAACGATGGTTAGTTAAGTTAAACTCTTTCCTGTAAGAATGAAGCTAGAGATGTATCAGAATGCTGATTTTCTACGGTACTTCACTAAATGAATGATTACTTTTTTTTTTCAAGGAAAAAAAACTAAACTATGAAAAAACTTGAGAGTTACAAAAAAAAGCTTACATTCTTCCTTTTTCTTCTATCAATTCCACCACTCCTCATATCACTTTTTCCCAGAGCAGATCCAGAGGGATTGCCATATGGCATGGGTGAGAGCACTGGTGCAGGAGGAGCAGTCATAGCAATAGTTGCAGCTGGCAATGATTGCACAGGTGGCTGAGGTGGAGCAGAAGCTGGTATAGTAGGAGCAGCAACAGGTTCAGGAGGAGGCTTAGGCAAAATGAACTTCAACCGATTGTTTCGATAGTTCTTCCAGAAATAAAATTGCTGCCTATGTGCCAGCTCCTGCAAATCTCAAATTATGCCAAATTTATAGTCCAGCAATCAGCTATTGCCTTGTATGCTTCATAACCCTCTTAATAGAGGCTATATCTCATTTGATGCAACTAGCAAGCCCATGAAATCAGCACTTTAGGCTGAGGAACATGCACTTTACCTACAAACTACAAGCTCAAATGCAAAACAACTTGCTTTATATTCAAGATAACAAACAGCCCCATTGTGAACCATGTCATCATTTAGTTAATACCACACTGGTGGAATGATCTGATAAGTATTGAATAAATATGCAAACCATTTATTCACTGGGAAAATATAATGGCAGTTTTTATTTGAAGAATCAAGAGAACTTCAACAGTATGAAAACAATAATCAGTGTAGAAGGGCAAAGTAAGAAAGAAATAATAGCTCTCAACCTTGTTGGCAGGATGTGCCATTGCATTGCGGAAATTTGCATTTTGAAGAAGTTCAAGGAAATATAAGCAGTGAGGATACCTGAAATTAATCAGAATGTAAGAAATGGGCCATTAAACTATCTGATGGAACCAAACTTAATTATTTGCTTTCCCTTTACAATGAAAGTTGGCATATAAGTTAAACATATGCTAACCATAATATAACAAGATTTCAAGAAATCAGCTTACATTATAAACTTTATGTATTCAGGCCGTTGCCAGTACTGAAGGTACTTTAAGTAACCAATAAAGGCTTCATCTTCAAAATAACGATTTTGAGCCAAATCTGCGTCATTAGAGAATGCAAATGGAGTGCAACACTTTTCAGCTAATTTCATGTTTGAATAAATAGATAAAGATAAAAAAAAAAAAACCAACAAAACAAATGACTAGCTCACAATTTAAATCTTAGACATATAGCATGTCAGTGACAGGATTTTGCATATGCTGACACACACTGGAAGGTTAACTTTCCAATCATTCGAAATTTTGCATAAAATTAAACGATAAACAAGATTAATTAACCCAATAATTTTCATACTTGTCAAGAAATTTAAGCAGAAGCCAGCAGCTATCAATGTTGTTAAAGTAAACATTCAACCCAAAGCCAACATCTTAAATCAAAAGAAAGTAATTTCCAGGCATACTAAAACGGAAAAAAAAAAAAAAAACAGTATAATTGACAATTCCGAATATAAATAATTCTACCATTGCCAGAAAATCAAAGAGGCTTTGCGATTGAAGATGCATATGAAAATTCTTAATAATCCTACTAATTACTTTCTAATCATAAAAAATTAAGAATTATAAATATTGGTAAAACCCTAGGGAATTCAGAACTTACAGTGGATGTAAGTGGGATTGGCCAGACATTGCACAAACTCCAGCTCGAGTAAGAAACGCTGGCGCCCGTCGTCCGGATCCTTGTACAAGTTCTGCGGCCTGAAAATATTTTCGGGGAAGATTAGCTTTGTCACAATTTTCCGACACCAGCCAAGAAATGGTGAAGAAACTGGATAGAAATAAAAGATATGAAAGAAAGAGGTATAGATTGTTACAAGGAAAGAGTAGTTGGAATATCTTCACTTTCTTTGCCGGAAGCCATTGGAAGTTTGAAACCTGCAAGTGCGACGAACAACTTTGGGGAAGAGGGAAGGACCAAGAATAAGGGAGACGATCTACCACAGAAGACACGCTGGGCCGAGAAATTATGGATTTGAGAGAGTGTGAAGTGGGCCACTCCAGACCAGGCTCGTCAAGGACTGGACAGGGTCAAATCCTGCTGTGGGAGGGTAGACAGTGCTGGGCCTGGAACCAGAACCACATGAATCCTCAATGTTTTGGTGTTTCCAGATACCAAAGCGATGTTTTTTTTGGTTTTTCGTCCGGTATTTAGGATTTTGCCCTAATTAATCCGGATTAACTCGCGTCGCGTACTTGAAAATGGTAGGTGAGTCTCCCAACAAAAGCTGCTACATACACAAGGTCTCGAACTCGAGATTTTGCTTAAACTGAAACAAGCTGCTTACCACTTGATTCAACCCCTCGTTGGTACCAAAGCGACGTTTCTCAACAGAAAGATTATGTTTTGTTTAAAGGCAACGGGTGAAGGAGAGGGAAGGGGTTCTGATTGGTAAAAAAATTCACCTCACCCCTTCTATTCATTTTTCTCAAACTAGATAGACTTAAAAGTGCTAGATTGGAATCCTTCCTCCCCAAACCTTGCACCGTATGGGAACAAAAATGTTTACATGTTTATAGTATGAGTAATGATTATTGTAATGACAATAGTATAATTATAATACTATATAATATTGTAAGTTTACTATTATAATATAATATTAAATAAGTGTATTATTTTATTAAATAAGTGTATTATGTTATTAAATAAGTGAATACATATAATATCATGATCATATTTTTAAATATAACAAACCAATTATAGAATGATATATTATGCCGAAACCTTATAATATCAAGTCATGATCAATAAGCACAAAAAATTCGCCCTAACATTTAATCTGAAAAATTGGTTCTATACTTCTATCATTATTCTTATGGTATTGAATAGGATCTCATAAGGCTCCGATCAGATAAGGAGAGACTATTTCAACTGTGATTACATGATCGACGCCATTATCAATGGTAAGCAAGAATTCATCCTAAAATCGATGATCATTTTTGTAGGATTGGATGGGCTCTTATAAAAATTGATTTTTTTTTATTTATGTAAGTTCTGTAATATTAAATGTATCAACTTATTTAATAATACATAAAAATTATATTAAAAAATGATATAAAAAAATTATTCTTATAAAAATTAACCTAATCCTTTTAATATTGGAGAGGCTGTCATGGCGCTCCAATCAAACAGGGACAGACAAATTTCCTGACAGCATTTTATTCATGGGAAATTAATTTTTTTTTCAACCCACTTTTATTATTATCATTATTATTATGAAAAATAGATTAACAAATAACTATGAAGCAAACCAATGAAACCATCTCTACAAAAATTGAGAGCATCATTCTAGTGATTATGTGTTCTAACATTTGACCTTCGTCCATTGGAAGAAACATTTTTTGGTTCTAATCCAGAGAAGCTTAAACCATCAATATACGGCCTGAAAATTCAACAACTACATCACTAAAACACTTGTTGCAAGGCAATTGCACGATTAAATGGATGTGGAATAGCGGATCTAGCCAAGCAGTCAAGAAATATCTAAGCTAGCTCTTTGGCATACAAATGTTGGTACAGCTTTTGCCTCCCCTTAGAATACAGAAATAATGATAAGACCATCATCAAGTAATGGCTGTCTGACAATTGCAGCTTCCATCAAAGCAAGTACCATTCTAGTATGGTCTATACCGCATTGGCCGCCTGAACCTTGGAACCCTCCTGAAAATGAGGTTAAAAAGTCGATACATTTATGATTTATTAATATAGAGTATTTAGTAGAACATAATTCACTTCTGCAAAAAATATCACGAGGATATTGACAGCTTCCAATCAACCATCGCATTAACTTAATATCTCTAGCAACAATGAGGTTTTTTTCAAGTCGGCTATTAATTGGTGGACTTACATACTAAAGCTTTGAAAACTAGCCTATGGAAAGCAGAGGATCTAAGATGCTGAATATCAACCTATCAAGAGCCATATCATGCCAGAGACTATGATGTGATAAGCAATAGCTTAGCCAACTTTAATTCCAGGGTTATGATCAAGGCTTCATACCTCTGCTATGGATAAATACTAACTTCTATGCTGATGACGAAAGAAAGAAAAGTGAAACTAATATCTGAAGGCCACAAATTGGTTTGGAGTCCTGTAGTATAAAACATACAAGACTTTGAGATAAAGCATCAAGTGAAACTAGTAACTGAAGGCTATGGTTGGATTGGAGTCCTGTAGTCTAAACCATACATGCTTTGAGATAAAGCATTGCAATTACAATACTTACAACTGTTTTCTACCCTCGCAATTATCAAATCTTGCTGTTATCTACAGCAACCAAAGAGGGAAAAGATATGCTAATGCTTACCCATAACCATATGGAGGAAAGAAGACAGGACCAGGCATGAAAGGCCTTCGTGATCGAAAAAATGGGTTGGGTCGTCTTCCTCGAAACTGTTTCATTCCAGGAATATTTGTCCGCTTGGCAGAGACCTAGAAAAAACCCACACACCATTAAAATCACAAAAATTATATTCACAGTCTACCTATCATCACAAGGATAAAGCTAAAAAACCTTTAATTGACGACCATGCAACTCTGACTCATTCAACAAAAGAGCATTCTGGACAGCATCAATTTCTACAAATTCAACATAAGCAAATCCTTTTGGTTGGCCAAACTTGTCGGTCAAAATTGTCACTCGGTTTACTGTCCCACAGGATTGAAAATGCTGCTGGACTTCCTCAGGAGTGCATGCATAGTCTACCTATAGAAAAAAACATCATAGAGACTAGAGTTAGTCTACTCCTAAATTATTTATTAACAAATTGAAAATTGCAAGTTTGAAGTCATCCCATTCCAAAGCACATAATGACATAAACAGTACCAAACAACATTTATTAAACTACAATAGTTCCCAAAATTATCTAGAATAAACTTGCTGGAAGAAATTAGAAAGTTAAATAGATTATTACACATCACAAGTATCATTTTAAATAAAAAGAAATAACACCAGGGGAAGGATAGAAAAACCTCACATTACCAACATAGATCGACCGGGAATCAATTTCCTCCTTTTCAGCCTGAGAGGCAGAAGCACCAGCTGGATCTTCATGGGAAGAATAAAAAGAAAAGTCACAATAACAAAATGCTCTTACGTATTGCATCATCAGAGAAATAAAAACAAAATCCCAAAACTAAACAACTATAGGCAAAATATATCAAGCAATCCTTCCTTGCAGACACCTATAGTGCATCCTGTCTGCTGTAGACAATGTAAGTGCGTAATACAAGGGAAGGGGGAAACATGATAAGAGTTCCTTCCACATGTTAAGTTAAATGTATTTTTATCATTAATTCAACTTCCATCATGCCTTTTCATGGAGATGTATTTCACAATATCTAAGAAACAATCAAACAAATGCTGATGCAAATCATGGCAATTGGTAGCACTTTTTTTTTTTTTTTGGTGTAAAGTGGCAACACTGTTTTCAACATCAAGAGATATTGTCCTTGTCAATTAAAACAATGAATCTCATTAAAGTTCAAAATTCCTTAAAATATAAATAGATCACAATCACATAAGGATTTCAAGAAAATGGTAAAAATAGGGAACAATACCTATTTACATTGACACATCTATTACAATTTGCAATGACTTTCAATCAATTAACTTCCTCAAAATAGAAGACTTCGAATTAGCTATATGCATCATGTCCAATTAACCCAAAGCATCCTTTTAAGAAATTCACAAATCTAATGGAAAAATCTAACAGTTACCCATCAACTAAAGATCAGCACAGACTGTACAGTACCTATTCTTGAATTTGAAAATGGTAGAACTCATCACTCTTTCAGTTTCTCGTGAACCAAAAATAACAAACCAAAACGTTGAGATAACAACTTTAAGCTACTGTAAAGTTGAGCCAACAGTATAATACTAACTAAAACAAGCACATGTCCGGATCCAAATCAACAACTAGAGATATAGATAATCATAAATATAGAGCAAGATGGGAGAGAACCTTGGACAGCTCCCATCTCCTTTTCGACTTTGGCTTGCATTTCACGTAGAGCGCTGGCCTCTTCTTCGATCTCCTTGAGTCTCCTTTTCATGTCCTCCAAGTCCTATGTTTATAGTTCCCATCATCAGACAAAAGCTAAATCTAGAGAGAAAGCTAAAAGGAAAGCAACCTTGGAGCTGGTGTTAGGATCGATCTCTTGGCCTTCCTCGTCTTCACCTCCGGCGTACATATCCGCATCAGTGTCCATTTCTCCCTCGTCCGGGATCTCTCCTCCATACACCTCGTGCTCTTGCTCTTGATCGTCGTGTTGCTCCATATTTGTTCAGAGTTAGTGCTGAGTGGAATTTGAGATTTCTGGATTAGGGATTCGAGGCCTATGGGCTTTCGATTTGGGGAAGAACGGAGGAAAGGGACTGGATTGGGACTTGGAGGTCGGCATGAAATTTCTGAGGTTTTGATGCCCGCCGAAAAAGGTGAATTTGTAATAACAGGAATTCATTGAGGGTATTTGTGGATTTTCGTTTAAAAATACATCTGGGCTCATCCAGCCTTCCTGATCCAGGTCGAGGAAAATGTCCTTCAGTTATATGTGAGTATATATTTTGGGGTATATTTTTAGATTTTGTTTCTACTTAAATACTTGAAAATTTATATTTAGTAATTAATTCAATAGGTATCAAATAATTTATAAGTATGTATTTATGTATTTGTTCAGAAAAAGAAAAGATTTAATATAAGATGCTAATGTTATGTATGTTATGTGTTTGGTTTAGATTTTATTACTTATATTAGTTGTCACTATTGTTTACGTAATTTGTTCATTATAAATCTTACTTAACTTTTATTTTTATTTTTTATATTTTATTATTTTTATTTTTAAAAATTATTATTATATTAATATTAAGTATAATAAATATATATAAAATTTTAATTATATAAATACATAAGAGGTAAGTTAAACAAATTGATTAAATAAGTTAGATAAATAGTTGTAAACTCATATATTTATTATTTAATTTAACATTTATAAATATATTATTTTTACATCTGTTACTTACTTATTTTCTTTTAATTTAAATATAATGTTTAAATAAATAAAATATTTATAAGTAACGAATAGTGAATACTCACCCCAAGCTCTCACTTAGGCAATTGCCTATCAGCCCATCAATGATGAATTTGGCAAGTGAAGCCCATCAGCCTGGTTTAATGGGACTGCTTTGGTCCAATTTCTTTACATCTGAATCTCGTGCCTTCCAATGTTCCAATTCCTTTGCATCAAGATTCAAGATCTTGGAAGATGGGCCACTAACTTGGAATGTCTTTTTTTTTTTTTTTTTAATCTTTCAGTATCCGATAATCATATTGAATCCCAACTAATTTGAAATCGAGTCACATTAGACTTTATTAAAGGGAAAACTTTCTTAATACCTATTTCTCTATTTACAAAACTCAAACTTTAAACCTTATTTAAAGAGAAATAAGTTTCTTTTACTCAAAGCAATAGGTAATTGATAACTCGGAATATTTACAACATGCTAGGGTAGGGTAGTGTAATACACGGTTGTCCTCTAAAATTTTTTTTAGAGAACTTATTCAAATATTTAGTTTTTAATTAATATTTTTAAAATTAATTAATTGTATTAAAAATTTTATTTATATAAATTATTTATGTAAAATTTTAAATTGATCTAATATTTATAATTTTTAATTAATAAAATCATGTTTATTAATATACATTTAATTATATTAAATTTTATATAATTAAACCTGAGTTAAACATACTAAATTAATTTAAATACCGATATGTGTAATTTATATAAATAAAATTTTTAATCAAATAGTTGATTTTTAAAAATATTAATTAAAAAATAAATTTTTAGACAAATCATTCCAAGTTTTAAAAGGTTAACCTGGAAAATAGTCTTTCCTTATATTTATATATGTTTATTATTTAGTTTCCGTTTGACATTATTTCACAATGCTTCTACGGTAGATTTAGGGTTTTGTGTTTTTATGTTTGATAACATTTTGTTTGTGAAAATGTGGTAATAAGGATATAAATTTTTTTATTCTTTTTATTTAAGAGTATAAACTTTTTAAAATTTTAAATTAGGCAATAAGCTTTTATTTTTTATATTTAAAGATACAAAATTTACCTTTTTTAATTTAATGATATGAATTTTACCCTATTATGATTAAGATTGCCATTTGCCATATTATCATTACCATCTAATAAATTTTTAAATAAAAAAAGGAAATTTTTATTCTTATTTAGAAAAAATAAAAACTCAAAAGGTCTTTACCCTTAAGCAGAAAAAATGATAAAATTTGTATCATTATGTGCACTTTTTCTCACATTTTTTAGATTGCTTTCTTGTAAACTCTTAAATAGGCACAAAAAATTTTCCACATAAAGTAAGGATTTTTTTTTTTTTTAGATTGCTATTTGTAATTTATCTTGCATAGATTGCATATATTTTATAGCTATTAATAGAAGGGAGACCATTTCAATATTAGAGAGTTTACATCTCATCAATGATTATAAAATGTGCCATCTGAATTACTTTTCTACTTTTTTTTGGCAAAAAAATAAGAAAGTTAAATTTTTAGAATTTGTTTAGCTTGAGAGGAGTGAAGAAATCAAATTAAAATTTTTACTCAACAACTTACTTTAATTATTAGAAATAGTTTTCTTTCCATTCGAAGTCATTCAAATAAGCTCTTAAAGAAAAGTGTTAACAGTATCAACACAATTTTAAAAATACTCACTTATAATAATTTTGTTTATAATTATCAAACATTAAAACTTGTTACACCACACCACAACACTTCTAATACATAATTATTCAAATGCTATTAATAGCATTTAGTGATAATATGTCACAATACAATCATAATTATAGTCACAATACCATATAACGTTCTCAAACGAAACCTGTTATATGGTTTTTATTTGCATAATATTAAGCATGTGAGAGTAATCTATTTCACACGTAGCTTTTGTTTGACCTTGGCTTCCTTTGGTTCTTCATCCTCGCCTGGGGCGTGCTTTAACCTTGAGAGGTTTTGCCATTTCACAAGAGACCCTCAGCACTTCAGAGAGATCAACCGGGTTATCAAGATCCGGTTGCATCCATTCAAACTCGTGCAGCAACGACCCGACCCAAAAGGTCACGTTTGCCAAACCCAATTCCTTTCCCGGGCAACCCCTCCGACCCGACCCAAATGGTGCCAGCCTCAGGTCCGATCCCAAAACCGAAAACTCCACGTCAGCACCATCCTTCCTCACAAACCTCTCTGGCATAAACTTTAGTGGGTCTACCCAAACTTCAGGGTCCCTGGTTATGGCCCACATGTTAACCATGGCTGTGGTCCCCGCAGGTACGTGGTAGCCATCCACGGTGGTGTCTGTGATTGATAAACGGGCCCATGACAGAAGCGGGCCCGGTGGGTGCATTCTCAGAACCTCCTTCACCACCGCCGGCAGGTACACCATTTTCTGGACGTCCGATTCCCTCAATGGTCGTGATCTTCCGACAACTTGATCAAGCTCATGGTGTAACTTTGATTGGATGTCGGGATGGAGTACCATTCTGGCTAGTATCCATTCTATCAAAACCGCCACTGCATCTGTTCCTCTAAATATCATCTCCTATAGTAAACACCAAAGGCAACAAAAATCTTAAAATAAGAGAGAATAACCTTGTAAGCTTTGAGGAAGTTTGTTTTAACATTTTTGTAAATAGTGATTAGTTATTTATTATAATTAAATAAATTAGATACTATAATTATAAATAATAATAATTATTAATAATTAAATAATAATGATCAATTATCAATTATACATATAAATAGTTAATCTAAATACCCTATTTAAATTCTTATTCCTTAAAGTTGATAAAAAAAAAAATTATTCTTATCCCTTTAAGTCAGAAAGTTAGATTAGCTTCTTCGGTACCGATCTCAAAAGAAAGTGCAGTTTGCGTTAACGTTACTGTACTTCTAATGAATTTTATCCTCAATTTATTAATAGTACTTCTTTATGATCTCAACATTCGAATTGCAATTTTTTTTTTTTTTCATTCAAACTAATAAAAACAGGATTTGCCAACCGGGCTTGTGGTCCAATTGGTTGGTCCCAAGCTTTAGGGTTTGGGTGAGACGGAAGTCAGGGTTTCGAGCTCTGCCACCGCCGTGAACTCCACCAACTTGCAATCTAATGGTCGCGCGCCTCAAATGAGGGGTGGAATGTTCACTTTCCTGGAAAAATTCTAGCTGCTAACAAACTAACTCTACTAATTTTCTAATCATTTACCTGGTAAAAAAAAATAATAATAATAAAATAAAAACAGGATTTTAATTTGGGCTTTGTTTTGTTTTGTTTTCTTTAGTCGGTTTGAATAGTTGTTAGCTAATATGAAGTATTTAATGGTTGATACATATTTGTTATTATTTATAATTTAAACATTATGAATTGTTAAATACATTTTATTTTGTTTCAATTTTAATTATTTTAGTTTTATTTTTAAAATTTTTTAGATATTAATTTTAAATGAAAATTTAACATAGTATGTGAATGATAATTGAAATTTTTTCTATTTTATTAATGAAACTATTAAATAAAAGCTATATATAGGCAAAAAGAAATTTTTTGAATGTCATTCACATGTTTCATTAAATTTTTTTCAAAATTAATGTTTAAAAAGTTAAAAAATTTAAATTAACACTACTAAAATTAAATAAAAAAATATTAATTATAAATAATTTGAAATAACTAAACCAAACAAATTTTTAACATATGTTTAATTTGAAAGAATGGAGGAGATGAAGGGGGAATAGAAGGTTACGATTTCCTTTCATTTCCCTCTATTTGCCTCCCTCTCCTCCTCTCATTTGAAGAATGGGTTACCTCATCCATTTTCTCCCGTTCTCTCATATCAAACATACTATTAAACATGTTAATATAGCCTTCAAAAAGTTGTGTAAGTTAATTTGACTTAAGATAAAAAACTAACTTCTCCCTAGATATGACTGATCTGATATATATATATATATATATATATATGTAAATAGAAGGTAAACGTGACATTTGCTTACCCAAAGAACGGCAACAATATCCTGGTCTGATAGTCTGTCTGGTTCACTGAGAGAGAGTAAAACATCCACGAAATCACGGTTTCTTTTCTCCCCGGATTGAATTCTATGTTCTTGAATGATTTTATTGACGAACCGGTTCACTTTAGGGACCAATTTTGAGCATCTGAGCCGGATGCTTTGAAGGTCTAGACCGGATAACCATGCAAGATGATCAGACAAATTAAGCTTTCCAAGTAAGTCATATCCTTCCTTAACCAGCTGGATCAGTTCTTCAGTTTCGTTGTTTGAGGAACTCAGTTCATATTTCCGACCAAAAACAGTGCTCATCATGTGATTGAGAGAAGCCCGGTTGACAATATTCCGCACAGGGAACGTTTCTCCGCCATGACATGAAACCTGTGAAACCATTTGAGTGGCGATATGGAACCGCTGCTCCTCGGTGGAGCTGATTTGTTTCGGACAGAACAGATGGGTTGCGGCGATTCTTCTTAGTGTTCGCCAGTGAACTCCGTAAGGAGCAAACCCGATGGCTCTGTTGAACATGAGATTATAAGCAGACTCGTTCATGGGACGATCGGCGAAGACGGAGCTGTTCAGAATCTCTTTTGCTACATCAGGGTTGCATGTGATGACGAACCGAGTGTCGCCTAGGCTAAAAGCCATAAGCCTCTTAGCATCAAAGGACTTGGCAGATGCAGCGAGCTTGCGGTGAGCCAGTTTGACCATGAGGTTCATGCTTCCAATGACCGGGAGGCCTCGTGGTCCTGGGATGGGCTTGGTTCCTCTGGCTCCCCTCTTGCGCCAATAATACTTACCCCAGGCTTGACCTCCAGGGTGTGTCCAGAAGCAGAGTGCCATGACTAACCAAACCATGCAAAGAAAAAGAGAAACGAAAATGGCGTTTTGGGATGAGAAAGTGCTGCATTTGGAAGCCAGAAGCCAAATCCAAATACAGTCGGTGTGTTTTTCCATGATAGAAGAAGAGTGGTTTCGCTGTGTTTTTCTGTGTACTGAACAAGTGAAACTGGAGGGTGGTATATATTGGAGATTTGTGAGAATTAAAGTAACGACAGTACGCGGCCAAATTAAAAAAGTAACCACGCGTGTCCAAAGGGGAATTATTCTCTAGAAAAGGTGAGGCAAAACTTTATAGTAAACTCTTAAATTTATCTTAGATTATTAATTAAACCCTTAAACTTGTCGATTTGGGCAATTTAACCCTTCTTTTTTATAGCAGACTTAACACTCATTTATGTATTGTTTGTATGAATAAAACATTAATATGTCATTACTTACGTAGCATGTATTGAGTTTGTCTATGCAAGGCACAAATCAACGTTTGTCATAAGAAGGAGGGTTAAAGTGCTTAAATCAACAAGTTTAGGGGCTTAATAGAAAATCTAAGATAAATTTAGGCGCAAGTTTTGCCAAAAGGCAATATCATTCTTTAAGCTTGCCCCATTTTAGCATACAATCCCTTGAACTAAAAAAACACAAGCAGATAAGCACTTGATCTGTGCTATTGCAGCAAATTAGCTCATTCGTTAATGACTATTGTTAGTTTTTGTTAATTTTAGTTGATGTGGTAGGTAAAAAAACAATTGTTATTAATGAAAATTGATTTGAAAATGAAAAGAAATGAATAATTTCAATGAGAAAAGTTACTTCACTCCGACACGAACATAGTGTTGACACATATATCAGGGGTCGACACCATACGAAAGGTTACTTCACTCCTGTAATATGATACCTTTCAAGTTATGATGTTTATGGGTTTGGGGTACCCCTTGTACTCCGCTTATTAATAAATATTATTTTTTTCTGTTCAAAAAAAAAATTTTCAATGAGAAAAGTGCTTGTGAGCTGTACTTCTAAAAAATTAAGAGAAAAAACATTTTAAAATTAAGTTATTTCAATAAACTCCTATTGAAAAAAACTAAAATAACTTATTTTTAAACCATAAATGACTTTGTGTTGGCTTTTTTTTCATAAGACTTTAACGAAATGACGTAATTTTAAAACATTTTTTCCTCATAATATTTTTGAGGTCTAGTTGAGAAATACTAATCTCAATTTCAATATAGTTGTTTGTTTCATTTCGGTGCTATATTAATGCATTAGCATAATGCCTTTTTTTAATTCTCATGTAAGTTTGAGTGCTTGTGAATGGTTTTGCTATAGAAGTATGAAATGGAAGTATAATGATATGGATA